TTATCTAATGTATTTTGTATAGGGTCTCACTGTGCAGCTCAGACTCATAGTGACCCTCGTGTTTCCCGCCTCTCCAGCGCTGCAGTGGGGTTCCACGTGTGCACTACCACGCCCAGTCTCAGTGGCCGGCTCAGCCTGTCCTGGGGGGCGGGGCTGAAGTGACTCGTTGGCCCCTCCTTTTGTCTTAAATATGTATTTTCTAGGGTATCATTTTAAATTCTGTATCTTTTTTTCTACTACTTTGGAGTTATTTCCTCAAAGGTTGCCTTGGGAATTACAATTTATATATTAACAAATCTAGTCTAAATTACTACCAAGTTATTTTGCATAGCATGCAGAACCTTTGCTTTTAGCTCTACCCTCTTCAGATTGGTATTGTCATAGGTGATACTGTCACATATTATGAGCCATCAGCATAAATTTATTGTTACTGCTTTATGCAATTATCTTAAATCATGTAGGAAAAAGGCAAAGAAAAATCTATGAATACTGCCTTTTATACTTAACGAGGGAGCCACCTTCACCCGTTACTTCTTCACTTAGACTCCAGTCCCATGTGCTGCCCTTTCATTTCAGCTTGTAGGATTCCTGATAGTGTTTCTTTTAAGCAGTCTCACTCTTTTCAGGGTCATTCCCCATTGCCTGTTTTCTCCATTTCATCTATGTTTGGCTTCCAGAAATCTTTTTGTCTGTTTTGTTTTTTGTTTTTGTTTTAGTGGTACCAGGGATCAAACTCAGGCCCTTGCACTTGCCAGACAAGTACTTACTCCACTGAGCTATCTCCCCGGCCCCAAATATCTGTATCTTTTTTTTTTTTTGTCGGAACTGGGGATTGAACTCAGGGCCTTGCGCTTGCCAGGGAAGCGCTTATTCCACTGAGCCATCTCCCCAGCCCTCAGAAATCTTTGAAAAGGGAAAATAGAATTGCTTTTCACCAGTCTGCCATTGGCCTGATTTGGGAGTTTTAGGAAGTCTTTAGCAAATGTTGGCTCAAGTAATTGGGGTACAAGTTTAGAATTTTCTTTTCTTGTTACCTTTTTGAGAGGTCTCACTCTGCAGTCCAGGCTGGCCCTAACTCACTTTGTACCCAAGCAGGCCTTGCACTCAGAGCAATCCTCCTGCCCCTGGAGTGCTGGTATACAACGTGTGGCACCACCCCTTGGCAGAAAACTGTCTTTTTTCTTTTTGTACTGGAAACTTTTTTTTTTTTTTTAAACTGGGGATTGATCTCAGGCCCTTGTGCTTGCTGGGAAGCAGTTATTCTACTGAGCCAGCCCCCTCGCCGCTCCTTTTGTACTGGGAGTCAAGCTCAGGACCTTGTGTTTGCTAGGTAGGCACTATATTGCTGAACTATATCCCGAACCCCTAGAATTTTCCATTTTATCTTCTTTTCCCTTCAGGGTTTTTTTTTTTTTTTTTTTTTTTTTTTTTTTTTTTTTTTTTTTTTTTTTTTTTTTGTTATTGAGATAATGTTGTGCTATGTAGTTCCGGCTGGCTTTGAACTCACTACATAGCCAGGCTAGCCTCAAACTCATGATAATCTTCCTGTCTCAGCCATCTGAATGCCAGGGAAGCACTTCTTCTACTGAGCCATCTCCCCGGCCCTTTTTTTTTTTGTGGAACCAGGGATTGAACTTAGGCCCTTGCGCTTGCCAGGGAAGCACCAGCCGTCCGAATGCTGGGATAACAGGTGTGCATCACCATGCCCAGCTTTCTCTTTTTTTCTTTTTTGATACCAGGGATCAAACTCAGGACCTTGTGCTCGCTAGGCAGGTGCTTATGCCTCTGAGCTATCTCCCTGGCCCCAGTTTTTGAAGTATACTGCTATGCTGATTCTTACTTGGTTAGTTTTGGTGAAAAATATTTGTAAATTATTCACTTTTTTAATGCTTACCTTTTGGGATGGGGGATGACAATTGCATGAAGGCATTTGGGATTTTTTTTTTTGTGGTACCGAGGATTGAACTCAGGACCCTGCACTTGCCAGGCAAGTGCTTATTCTACTGAGCTATCTCCCCGGGCCCAGCATTTGGGATTTTCAGAACTCTTTTGCTCATAACATAAAACTGCATAAACAGTAGGTGTTCAGATCTCTCCGCAGACTAGCCCTGGAGACCGTGAGCACACACGTCTGTTCTTCACGAGCAGGAGCAGTAGACTATTGCGTGCACAGTAGTCCGTCCCTCACGAGCAGAGCGTACCCCACTCTGGCGCCGCACAGCCATAGGAAAAGCTTCCTGGGAGACTCCCAGGGTGAAGAGCCAGTCAGGTACCTGGCTGCTGCCCTCTAGCTGGCCCCAAACAGAAGTGATGTCCAGGTGTCTCTGGTGGCTTCCTGTAGAACTTTGTCTCCGAGATTAGGTCCCATCTTCATGAGATGAAATCTTCAGGGGTGTGTCTCAGGACTCTAGGAAGACACAAGATTTTTGCTGAGGTATGTCTAATTCTGTCACAGGCTCATCCATATTCTCTAGCCCGAGTCACTTATTGACAGACTCCACACAGACTCCACACACTCCCGTGCTCTAGGCCCAAACTGAATTCTCTCTGCTCCCCCATTCCCTCGGCTCCACAGGCTCTAGCCAGCTTCCCTGGGGTGCAGCCTGTCACTCTGGGCTGGCCACGAGCAAGCTCCTTGCTTTCTACCCAACCTGTTTGAGATTTGTAATGATTGATACATTGTGTCAATTTGAGAAGTTTAATGAAGAGGCTCAGCGGGGGCCAGGGTCCTTACTTTGTGAACATCCTCATCCTGAACAAGAGGGTACAGATGGTGTGAGTGCTACACCCGCCCAATCTGCCGCGGGCAGGCAGCCTGCTCACAATCTAAGGAAGAGGCTTGTTCTCCCTGCTTTTGCTCTTGCTGCCTTTGCTCCTTCTGCGGCTTCCCCTGGCAGTATGCCTTGGAGGCAGCTGATTACAGACTAAACCTCTACAAATTGTGAGCTAAATAAACCTTTCCTTTCTTCATATGGGCTGCTGGGTTAGTCTCAGCAATGAGAAGACGGGATTCATGCTTGTGCAACCTGGAAAGGTGGGCCCCTGGCACCTAGGCGGCTGCCTCTGAGGAATGAATGCCAAGAAAGTAATGTCTCCCTCTTCAACCCTTGGCACAGATGGTTTGGAGGTGCAGTTCACGGAGCTTTCTGTTTGTCTGAGACAGGGTCTCACTGCATAGTTCAAGCTGGCCTTGGACGCTATGTCGTCCAGGTTGGCCTCAAACTTTTGGTGATCCTCTTGCCTCAGCCTCCTGAATGCAGGGATACAGGCGTGGCTACAGACCTGGCTCCACAGAGCTTTTTTTTTTTTTTTTTTTTTTGCGGAACTAGGGATTGAACTCAGGCCCTTGCCAGGCAAGCGCTTATTCTACTGAGCCATCTCCCCGGCCCCATCCACAGAGCTTCTTATGACTGCAGCATCCTTGTTCTTGACACTGGTCCACCTGGTAAGGCAGCCGGGATCCCATCTCCCGTCCCGTTATCCTCCTGTTGCCTGGCATCTTGTTCCCATGAAGACTAATTTCAACATGCAGAAGTGCTGCTCTCCGGAGTGAGGCCGGCACTTGTGTAAGTTGGGGCAGTTCAGAGTCAGTTACAAGAGTGAAGATTTCCAGTACACAGAGATTACACATTCACCTGACAGTCTAATCCACTGCGACAGCCCAAACCAAGTCAGGCGATGGTGTAGCAAGGCTCACCAAATACCGAAAATATGACTGGCGATAGTTGCTATTATTTAAAAAATCATTTCATTTATTAGAACTGTCTCACTTCTCAAGGCACTTCAGTAGCTTTCACAAAAATACATTTTTTAAAAAAAACCAAATAAAGCATGTGCTGTCGGAGTACCATGGTAACATAAGGAGGAAGAAGACAATCACACTGAACACAAATGTCTCCCAGTGGTATCACGTGACTGAAGTGAGCAACTCCCAAAGACTGTGAACATGATTTACATTTCTTCTTCACAATTTTCCCCATGACTAGGTCTCTCAGAAGGAGTACACACAGTGAGATCGTTTTTGGCACTCACAGAAGCGCTAGTGGCTGAGGCTGGTAAGGCCTGTACAGCAGCAGCTGCAAACCCTTGCCAGAGAATTCTGGGCTGAGAAACAAACAAACTGGGAAACAGCCTTTCTCAAGGCTCCGCTGACGGGCAAATAACTTAAGGAGGAGACATAACAATAAACAAAACAACAGAACAAAATCCTGGTTACAGTTCCGAGAAAAGACACTATTTCTCACTGTTACACTTCTCCCAACCACAGATTGAAAGCTTAGTATGGAGAAGGTCTGATTTACACGGTAGTGGAAAACAGGAAGAGTACACTTAACAGTGTGTTTCTCCCGGGCCTGGACAAGCCCCAGTGCTTTGATCAGACGTAAACGAGGCCACACAGCAGCCACACCGAGCGTGTCTGTAGTCCTGTGCGCTCCACAGTGGGTACACAATAATCCCAGCTAATGTCCTTTGTAACTGAGAAAAGGGGAGAAATCAAACTCCCTGTGGAATTACTTCTTTTCCTGTAAAATTCACCACTTAGGAAAAGAAGGGACAAAACTAAAGACCTCCCATTTTACCAGGGCCTTTTCAGGTAGTTTAAGATGACAGAGAATATCTAGTAGATTTCGCTCATAGCCTGCCAGGTCCCACTGGTTCTAGAGAGTCACTGACTTCGTGGAGTGCCGTGTCCACTGCTAACTGTTAGGACACATCTGAGTTGTTGGCAGGGAGCCAGGGTGTCCCTGGAGGAAAGGCAGAGCTCTGGGAGCACAAGCACTTTCTGGAGGTGGGTTCCCTTCCATGAGATCAGACAAAGGCCACAGAACAGACAGAAAAGCCCTTGTGTCACTGAAGGACCCAGAGGCTGCCCACGCTGTTTGTGACAAGATGCAGGCTTTCAGCTTCCATTTCTTGCTTTCTGGAAGTTGTGTTAAAAAGCTGTGCTTTTAAGGATTGCGGGGCTTTCTTCACCATCTTTTAACATCCTTGTGAGGCCTGGGGTTTGCCTATGTTTTAGTCTATTAAAATAAGCAAAACAAATGTTAGTAACATCCTAAAACAAATCAGACACAAAACAGTCTCAAAACAAATCAGCCAGAAACAAGGACATCTTTACTAGGAAAAAAGCTTTTTCCTGGTTTTTGTACTACCCCAGAGCAGCAGTTTCCATGGAGATGTGCACAGTGACATGTCCACACAGGAACAGGCCACTGCCATTTATAATCCTCTCATAACTAACCGAGTCCAAGGTGTCTGAGAAAGAATCTTCAGGCAGCCCTACGACGTGGCCAGCCCCAGGCCCAGTGCATTCACGCTGTGATAAAGAAGCGCTCTGCTCCTTACCCTTTGACCCTTAGCATCTGGTCAATGGTGTCTGGGAGAGGGGTACCGAAGCTCTCTGGCAAGAACAACGTGAGGATGGCTGTCAGAATGGTCAGGCTTCCCATGAGAATGTAAGGGAGGAAGCGGTCGTAGGCACCTGCAGCGAAGCAGATAGAGCCTTAAGCGCCAGGATGCACTGAGACTTGGTCTCCCGCCACCCCTTCATGCTCCGAGCACTCTGGAAAGGATCACCTTCCTTACTGGCCGCAGCCCTTCCCCTGGTCTGAGCTGCCAGAACAGAATCCGGCGGGTGTCAGGGCCATGGCTGGCACAGGCACGCCCAGAGATCCCGCCGTGCCCCATGGTGCACGGGCTAGTTTAGGGGCACAGAGGAGCTATGTGGTGATGACCAGTCCTGTCTCCCAACGCTAGGTTTCCAAGGAACATGAGGTACTTGTCTAGGGACAGGAATAGCTCTTCCACCTCTGCAGATGTGTCACTGCCTGTTTGCTTTGCCTTCGGGCTAGACAAGAAGGTATTTTGGCTCGTTCTAGGCAGCCTGCTCACAGAGCACTGTGGGCGTTCTCGGTGCGTTCCAGCCCTTCCCCAAGATGTGCTGGCTAGGGATGTGCATGCAGCTGTTGCCATGAGACAAAACCCAAGGGAGAGAATACTGGGGCCTTGCTACAAATAATGACGCAGGAGGGTCGGCGAGATAGCTCAGCCATCTAAGTGCCTGCTTAGGCAAGCTTAGGCAAGGTGCAGGGACTGCGGTTCCATCCCTGGCACCATGTGCCATGCCAGCCCTGCCCCCAGCGTGGGCTGAATGGGCCACAAAAAAAAAAAAAGGGCACAGAACAGATTTTTTTGCACTGGTAGGGACTGAACCCAGGGTCTTTTAGGCGAGTGCTCTACCACTGAGCTCCAGCCCTCTGGGAAGATCCTATACAGATAAAACCACTGTATTGCTCCAAGGTACAGTAATTCTCAGTTGATTATATATCTTGAATGCACATTTCCCTTGTGCTCCTTTTAAATTCTGTTTTTTTTTTTTTTTTTCAGAGCCAATCGGGGATTGAACTCAGGCCCTTGTGCTTGCCAGGACTGATCTGTCTCCCCAGCCCCTAAATTCTGGTACTAAGAAGAAACTGCCCATGGGCTGGAGAGATGGCTCAGTGGTCTAAAGCACCTACTTAGAACAAACTTAGCAAAGCACAGGGACTGCGGTTCAATCCCCCAGCACCACATGCCAGCCAGCCCCGCCCCCTGGTGGGCTGAGCTGGCCACACACACACACACACACACACACAAATAAATAAATAAAAATAAAAAAAAAAAAAAAAAGAAGAAGAAACTGCCCAATTAAGTAAACTGATGTCTTAAATCACTCTATAGTTTCTGAGGCTAAAAAAAGCATACTTTCTGATGAAGGTCTGAGTTGCCTAGAAAAGAAATAAACCCTACATTCCATTAATTTCTGCCCAGTATGTAGGACAGTTTCCATGTGGCCTCGGAGCTGGACGTGCAACTCAATGGAGGCGTACTTGCCGAGCATGCATGAGGCTCTGGGTTTGATTTTACTCTCTGTCTGTTTCTTACACACGCACGCACTCAAAACACCTACACAAGAATCATCCCCAGCAGCAGATGCATTATTAGATGGATCCCACTGGCTGGTTTTCCTGGTCACCAGCTATCTGGGCTCATGGGAAGGCCAGGTAGTGCTGTGCGCCATCGCTCTAGGGTGGCCTTGGCCCAGGGGACTTACCAAGGTAAACGAAGTAGGGAGACAGGATGCTGCCGAGGCGGGACGCTGTGGAGCTGACCCCCACACCCATGTTTCTGACCACGGTGGGGTACAGCTCGGCTGTGTACACATAGACCATGGAGAAGGCAGCAGTGATGCCGAACTTGCCCACCATCACCAGCACTGTAGCCAAGTAATACAAGTCTGGAAAGGCAAAGGAAAGAGGGTCGGGGCAGGCAGCAGCTCAAGGTATGCTGCTGTTGAGAGCTTCACTGATGCTTTGCACACAAACATCTGTCTCCCCAGTTGTTTGGGAAGAGTGTGTGTGTGTGTGTGTGTGTGTGTGATTTTCTGTAACTTCCTGAGATAAAGGACTCTAGCCAGGATTTCCAAGAGACTGGGACCCTGCAGCTGTGTAGGAAACACCTTACAGCCCAATCAGCCTCTTTCTAGTGCCTAAGTCATTATAGAGGGGGCTGTCAGGGAGCTAGCGCCTACTGTAGAACCTCTTCTTCAGGAATTAGTGGGATTCCCTAAGGACTACTGCATGAGAGGAGAATTCAATTCTAACTCATGCTTTCATTTATTCAAGCCTCAGAAAATTCAGAGACCATGCAAAACCGGCTTATCCTTTTTGCTGCCCAACAAGGAGACTCTGAACAGCCTGAGTGTCACTCTGAGCTCAGATGTGAAATCTCTACACCCACTCCCGGGGATCCCTGCTGGACAGGCCCCAGAGTGACTACCAGAGGCTCCCAAATCCCTGGAGGCATGACATGCTCTGGGCTCAGTGTGGGACACATGAGGGCCATCAACTGTTGTAGAAGTTGTCAGGAAGGTTTCTTCTCACTAACCTGTGGGATACCAAAATAATTCTATTTATTTATTTATTGGCAGAACTGGGGATTGAACTCAGGCCCTTGTACTTGCCAGGCAAGTGCTACCAAAACAGTGTTAGAAACAGATCCCTGTCGGGCCTCTGCGCACTTCCCTTCCTCTCTCCTTCAGCTCTTACTGGCGCTCTTTCTCAGCATACCAGGCTTGCTCGCCGTCAGGTCTCTTCTGGAAACGTTCTCCCAGATGTCATGGCTTTTGTCACTTCATGTGCTTTTCTGCTGAACTTCCCCTTGTTCAGGGACACCGTCAGTAGCTACTCTATGACACTAGCTTCCCACTCTCCTTTATTTTTATTCGTAGAATTTAACATAATCTGAACAGTGAGCATTTTATATTTGCTGGTTTGCTGATGGCTTTCTCACTAGAATGTGAGCTCCATGGGGCCTGGGCTTCTGCCCACTGGTTTACTTCTGTGCCATTAGCCCCAAGCTGGCACCTAACCCATGGCAGGCACTCTGTGGCTACTGGCTGAATGACTAATAAAAGAGAGCCAGAAAAAAAAAGCAATGGGGTGTCTCTAGTTCCGCCTTATTTTGGAAGGGAAACAAATGTGAACATATTAACTGACATATAGAGTAAAATTAACCAGCAACTCCAATGTTGTTCTTTCTCACTCCTCCCATGCCCCAAACATAAAGAATGCTCTGGTCTCATGCGGCGCTTTCTCTGGAATTTTTAGGCCACCAACGCATACGTGCAGGCGAACTCTGAGGGGCCTGGTTTTGTTCTCTTCATTTATTGAGACGATAGCCTGGTGCAGAGCCACTGTCTCACTGAAGACCCCGGACTGTGAGGCGCACGGTCCCTACCTGGGGGCACCAGCTGCACGAAGAGAAGGACGCTGCCGCCCAGGAAGAGAGCAGTGGCCAAGGAATAGCGCCGGGGCACGTACTGCAGCAGCAGCCAGGCCAGTATGTACGCTGGGACTTCAACCACGGCCGAAAGAAAGCAGTTCACATAGATGTCTCCGTACAGGTTAGGAGTATCAAGGGACAGTCCAAAGTAGCCCACTGATATGGTCATCCTGAAATGAAGAACAGAACAAAGCTAGAAGCAACGGCCATAGCTCCCGACCCGCCCAACTTGGCGATCGCAATTATTTGGGGAACTTCTAGGCTGCTCCCTATGCTGAGCACAGGAGAGCAGCACATTGAACCCTGAGCCTCACTTCACCGAACGAAAGAGGACTCCCCGGCCAGATGGGACCTGTAAATTCTTTGCTAGGGTACTTTCATTAGTTACTTATTTTTGGGGTACTGGGGAGCTAACTCATGATCTTGCGCTTGTCAGGCAGGCGCTGATGCTGCTGAGCTGTCTCCCCGGCCCGTGCTTGGGTACTTTCAGAGCATCCCTGAACCAAGTATCCCAGAGAAGGGCTTATATAATTCAGATAGATTTGTCTCCCCCCAGAAAATTCCGGCTTGCCTTTCAGCCTTAAAAATCCTCAGATGCAGCATTCACAGAAGCCCCCTTCCCCGTACTCTGAACCACTCCTAATCAAGCAACGACAGAAGGAGAGTAAGAATGCACAAGGCAGCAAACACAAGATAAGGCCCAATATTACACCAAACATTCAGAGAAAGTCCCCCGGCAGGCTGTGGTGACCAGCCAGGGAGAGGCTGGTCAGAGGCAGCTGCACTGGCCCCCCAGCATTCCGCTGATGACTCACACTTGGGCACAGCGGGCCTTGATGGATTAGACTGTTTTTGACAGCTGCAGGTTGGAAACACAGCTGATACAAGGAAGTAAAAGAATATGCTGTGCTCTTGGGAATTCCAAAGCAGGGAGGAGATCCCAGGTGGGCCATAGGATTCAGCACAACTGCCGGTCTGAGGTGCAGGGGACGTGCTGGGCCTGTCTTGTGGCAGACTCAGAGGGCGGCACATTGCCCCGAGGTACCCCGGGTCATTCCTTGGAACTGGGTGACTCAGTACCCTCCAGATGCCAGATGGCTGCCTCAAAGCTGGCTCAGTCTAGCAATAAGGACTCTGCAAGAAGCCTGTCCCCACTCAGGCTCAGGAAGTCTCCTAGAATCCCAGGGGTCTGGCTACTCAGCAAGGCTACCCGGGCTCAGACGTGCTTTCTTCTCCCTGGTAGCTCACAGATTCCTTCCTGACAGTTTGTGAAATGCCTTGTTAGAAGGAATCTGGAGAGGAAGCAGCCCTGACTTGGTCCTGACTCGGCCCTGACTCCAGGACAGTCTCCAAACATCCCAGATGGAACACGCCCAGAGTTCTCAGCGGCTTCTGTAGCCTCTACTCAGGTCCTTCTTAAAGCCTCCCTGGGCCTCCTTAGTCACTGTCCGTGCCTAGGCGGAAGGAAGTAAGGGACAGGAACAATTAAGCAGGACCCAAAGGGAGCAGTGATTCACTTTCAGACCTGATTCCCAAAGCAGCCTCTACAGTTGTTGTGGTCTCTTTCTCTTCTCTCTCTCTCTCTCTCTCTCTCTCTCTCTCTCTCTCTCTCTCTCTGTCTCTGTCTCTGTCTCTGTCTCGGTCTTCTCCTTTTCTGAGGGTCTATCACATTAAGAGGTGTGATAGGCCCATTTATTCATTCACTGCAAGACACACCCCTTCCATTTGTGAAGACAAGGGCTGTCTCTGAATGTGGGTTTGAGCCATGTCTGTAAACAAGGCCCAACAGCCATTTCTGGAAGCTACCCTGGAGGCCTCAGGTGGGCTTTTACATACCACAGAATTATGGACATGATAGTGACGATTCGGATATTCCGGGTCCGGATCAGATCCAGAATGTGGTGGGACTGCTGCTTCTTGGAACTTAGGTCTTGCAACTGCAGAGACAACATGACACGGGGAAGACAAGCCTGGGGACCCGCGCACGCGCGAGAGCATACGGAGCCCTGCCTTCTCCGCTCTCTTCTCAGAGCTAGGGAGTGTTTCGGGTTCTCCCTGCAAACAACAGCAAGGAGAGTGGCTCTGTCCCTGGGCTTCTACAGGCTTCCCCAAGCCTGTCAACAACAAATCAGAGAATGAGAATGACAGGGAAGTGACAAGCCCCTCAAAGAATACAGCCAAGGTGCAGGGTGAGGTTGATGGCTCCCTCACTGTCCCCGCCTGGCCCCGTGGTGTCAGCAGCCACCTTCCAGGGAGACCTCCAGGCCTTCCTTCCAGGCTGGCTGCCTTCCCTATGGGTCAGAGAGAGAAACAGGCTGTGCAGTTTACTGACCTAACATTTACAAAGAATTAATATTTTGAGTCCTTATACTAAGTAGTTATTGGTCCACTTCCAGTATGTGGAGGGGGGAGAATTAAAATTGAAAAACAGGAAAATTGACCTGAGCTTCACCCAGAGTAACTTCCTATGAAATTCCGCACAGCCCAGGCCATTAATAAACGGCGTGTCTAAACATACTGATGTTGCTTTCTTAAGCAAACCCAGCTTTGGAGCTTGTTTTTCCCAAGTTAGCGGTTCAACCAAAGGTCAACTTTAGACTTAAAGCATACCCTGAAATAGCCTCATTTCCTTAAAGATGCCAATGAGGTTTATGGCTTTACCCAGACGGGCTCCCCACCTACGAGCCACTGAAGCCACCTCACTTAAAAGCCCTCCCTGCCACACCCCTGTTCTGATCAGTGTGCTCCACGGCCCTTTCCAGTGTATGCTGAGTGACAACCGTTGAGAAGCTGCCACCTAAAGGGGTGGGTAGTAGGACTGCCAGTAGCTACTGGCCTCCTGGCTGGTTCCTCTGCCCGAAGCCCGGAGTCTGCCTCTCCGGGCCTGAGTGTCTCCAGCACGCCTGCTGTCACACCTCCGCACAACTCCTTATGGCTGTTGGGACAGCCAGCCCCTTATCTTCCATCAGAATAGAGACGCATTCCCGAAGCCTAACAGGCAGTGCTTACAGCTTCTAACCTCTTCTCATAATCCTGAGTCAGGAAAAACTGTCGCTGAAAGGGCAGAAGGAGAGGGAACAGAGGTACAAGAATCAGCAAACAGAGCCAAGACATTCCTCCTGCTGCGTAAGGATCGGGCTTGCAGGGAGGGTGGGGGTAGGAGGAAGAGGTGGGCCTCAGGAAGGACTGGGCTCCAGCCAAGCCCTGGAGGGTGGAAGGAGACCGGATGTCAGGGCTTTGTGTGCTGTGCACTGAGCATCTTTTAAGACAAATCACCTTGAACTTAAACAAGGATTTCCAAAGTGCTGATTTGTAGAAAGCTCATTTCTCATAGTGTTTATGTGAGAAGTAATGGTTAACCACATGATGGCCTAGAAGTATGGATGTCTACAGCACAGGGACAGGTAAAGAGAGGCAGGGGAGAGCCATTCCTCGGGTTGAGTCCTGTGTGCTCGTGCACATAGCTGGGGCTTGAGCCCATGTGTGCTCTACTACTAAGCTACAACCCTAACTCTTTTAATTTTTGAGGCAGTGTCTTGCCAACTTGAACCTACAATCCCCCTGCCTCAACCTCCCCACTGTAGGATTACAGGCGTATGCCCCAGCATCCAGCTGACTTTTAATAAGGCCTGCCCGGGGAGAGCTGGAGCTCTGGCAGGGCAAGCGCTGGACCGCTGTGGTAGGGACACTCGGGGGCTAGTGTGCCCTGGCCCAACCAGTTCCCACATGGTGCTTACCTCACTCGGGTCAAAGATGGTAGAGGGTGCCATGATCCCATTCATTTTGGCAGCCTTGCGGATGATTATTTCTGCCTCCTCAAATCGTCCCTGAGAGATGAGCCAGCGGGGGGACTCCGGGATGAACCTAGAAGTACGAGCACATTCCCAGTGAGGCCTTTTGCCCAACAGATGAGGAACAGCACAAGTGAAAGTGGAAATGAGGTGTCAGATCCAGAGCTAGGTTTGGGGAGCAGCTGTTCACAAGCTAGAGCCCAGAGACGGTCCATGTGCACCTGCAGTGTCCAAAGTTGGGGGCCTCCCCTGGCTGAGGGGATCTCTACACTGGCAGGCTACCTTGAATCTCCAGCCCTGCTGGCCCCGGTGGCTCCAGGAGACACCTCAACCTGGCTCAAGAAGCCTGCCTCCCCGAGGGCTCTGCTGGCCTGTAACCCGCTGTTCCCTTGCCCTGGCATCCACAGAAATTTCCGTGCTGGCCTCTTCTCGGCTTTCCTCACTTCTGCCTCCCCTGATTTATCCACGGACCTGCAATCACTGAGTGCTCTCTCCTGGAACCCTTCCTCTTCTCCTAATGCCCGTGGCATGGAGGTACACCCAGTGTGAGCCAAAGCTTCAGTTTTGCCCTGTGTGGAGCGTCACTGTCTTGCCCTGAGATCTGGAGGTCACACTGGACCCTACTTTCTCACAGTTACTCCTTCTCTCTGCACTTAGATCAACCTGGCCCAGGACTGAGAGCAAGTCCGTGGATGCTTTGTGATTCTGTTTTGTTTGGTTCTTCTGAGTGTGGAGACTACCACTCTCCGGGAGCCCTAATGGGGATTTGAGGGCGGCTGCTGCCCTCTAGTGAAGCTAGCAAGAAGCCTCCTGCCGGAAGGCAGCATGGGCGCACTCACCACCAGAGGGCTGCGCACAGGACCCCGGGCAGGGTCAGCGCCAGCAGCAGCATCCGCCAGTCTCTGATGAAGTAAGCCAACAGGGGCAGCAGCATGAAGCCCAACGCAAAAAATATGCACACTCCCAGTGTGGCAAACACAATCCGCACTGACTTGCCAAGGATTTCTGTTCCTGTTCAAAACAAGGAGGGTGTCAAGTGAGCACCGAAATTTGCCTTACTTCCTTATTAATCTTGCGCGACATCACTTTCAATATACAGACAAGAAGGCAGCGGAATTCTCTTTATGCTCCAAGTCCAGGGCAGTGGGCGGATCTGAACTCAGTCTAGTCTAGCTGTCCTGGGGCTGCCTCCCCGAGGCTTTCCACCCCTCAGCAACAGCTCCCCACTTTCCTGAGCCACATGCCAACAACGCCCGGTTGACCCCTTGCACACTCCTATAAGAAGTCATTAGGCGGAAAGCCATTACTGAGTCTGTTATTCTTGGAGGAAAAAAGATATTCTATAAAATGTGAAAAGAAAAAATAACCCTTTCAACAGTACAACCCAAGGGACCGGGAGTCTATCAGCCAGAGTCAGACTCCTCCACACCGCGGGATGGCTGCCTTCTCAGTGGTGGGCTAGCGCATCTGCGCCAGAGCCCTGCTGTGTCCCTGGGACTGAGCCTGAAGCCACGGAAAGCCTGTGGCCAACCATTCTCCTTCACGGATGTCACTGGCCACGATGCCCTGCGGTTCTCCTCCCTGGTGGGGCCTGTCCATCACAGCCTTTGCTTCTCACAGCCTGCCCCCCCTTTGCCAGCGACCTCAGTAGGAGGGGAATTTTCTAAATGGATGATCTCTGGTGAAGTAAAATGACTTCAAGTACTAAAAAGATCAAGATGTCACACCCCGGAGGCCAGAAAAGCAGAAATCAGATGTCAGGCTACGGTGCCACTATGACCCAAGACTGGTCATGTATCTGGCCCAGTTTCCCTCCTAACAAGCTGGGTTCATCAGGAAGCTTTGGCCAGAGGTGCTGGAAATCACTCTGAACCCCCAGGACATCAGAGGTGTCTCCAGGAAGGTGGGTGACAGGATGATGACGAAACACAGGATCAAGTACTCAACTCCAACCAGATGGCCATACCCAGGACAAACGCTGCCACGTAGTTGGAGATCTGCCCCATGCCGACAAGCACGAAGAGTACTGTGAACACCTCGAAGTTGTTCGAGAAGACCTGCAGTAAGCTGAAACCAGTCTGCATTCCCATGGTCACAAACAGCACATTCTTCCGACCAAACCTGGGAAGGAGAGGACAGTCATGGACAGCCAGCTGGGGCAGGCAGCAGGAAGGGCTTGTGAACAGTGTCCCCAGGGTAGCCAGAGCCAGGACAGTCCCAGCTGCCCACCCCCATTTGTTATGCCCCTCCCCTACTGCCCAGGAAGCACATGCAGCCCAGGTACCAAAAGACAGCACCACCACGATGGTAATATCTGTAGCTGACTAAAGCACATCAACTCTGCTTAAATCCATACATTGACAATGATGGTTCAAAAAATTATTAGTCAACTTTGGAGGATGTCATGGAAATAATTCACTACAAATGAAGACTAATAAAGGGAAAGAAGTATTTGTCTTGCCCTTCCATTGTAAACTGAATAGTAACCAATAAAGAAGATGGGAAGAGTCATTTCTAAAAAGTATTCTAAATGTTAAATGGAAAGTGATAAAATTAGCATACTGCCATTTCATAGCTCCCCTCCTAGGAGTTTACAGTCTGAGGAACTGGGAATAAATATCTCCTAAGATCGTGAAGAGACAGAAGCTATAAGCTTCCTACAGTCTCGTCTGAGGGACTGAGTCTGAATGTCTACATCCAGCTGCCTACTGGCAAGCAACGTAGAGAAAAGAGGAATAAGCGATACTACACCCGAGATGCAATCAGCAAAATCCACAGCAGGAAATTATGTAGTTGGAAGGGCCCGGGGTTCTTCAATAGATAAGATGTCAGGCAAAGAAAGGGATGGGAAGACGATCCAAGATTAATGCACTCTAGGGCCAGGGATGGCGCTCCACGGTAGTGCACTTGCTTAGCTGTCACAAATCTCTAGGTTCAGTTCTCTACATCACAAACATAAAGTGCACTATAAGACATGTCAAAATTTTTAGTTGATAAGATTAAATTTGTGTCTAAAGATGCACATTAGGATGATGAAAATATATTAAAAAAAAAATAGTCCTGACCACTATTATCTTGAATGATAAAATCTGGCAGATCAAAATCCCCAAAGTCTAAAATCTGAAGCAATCAAAATCCTGAAAATATAATTCTCAAAATTAAAAATTACTTATAATACAGTAATTTACATTTTAAAAGAAGGGCTTGAGAAACACAAAAACATAGCAAAAATGTTAAAAAAAGAGGCTTTCTACTCTTATTTTAGAATATTTCATATGCAATAATATACAATAACACATTTCTTGGAAGCATACTCAGGTAATAATAGTCACATGTGCATATCAATTAAAAGCAGACAAAATATGTTCAAAGAAATAAGTAAAAAAAAAGAAAAAAGTCAAAAACAAAAAGTATTGGGGGCCGGGGAGACGGCTCAGTAGAATAAGCGCTTCCCTGGCAAGTGCAAGGGTCTGAGTTCAATCCCCAGTTCTGAAAAAAAACAACAAAAACAACAAAACAAAAAGTATATACAAGTATGGTTGATAATTATACACACTGCTTTATTTTATAGTCAATATATCATGATTCATAATCTAAGTCTTTTTTTTTTTTTTTTGTCTTTTTGAGACAGGGTCTTACTACGCAGTTCAGGCTGGCCTTGAGCTCACTTTATAGCCCAGGCTGATCTCAAACTTGCAACAATCCTCCTAGCTCAACCTTCTGAGTTCTGGGATTATAGGTGTACACCACCATGCCCAGCTCAGCCTTTTCTTTCTTATTTCTGGAAATCAAATTCAGGTAGGACCTTGTGCGTACTAGGCACAGTGAGGAAAGGTACTGAGCTACACTTCGAGCCCTATAACCTAAGCCTTTTGATAGGATCTACTGAAAACCCTGATCTATCCCTGTTGTAGTTTTAGTATCATAGATGCAGTTTGCCAAGGAGCTGAGGAACCAGGAGTTGTAGCTTCCACAAGTGCGTATGTATGAAAAGGTCACCTCTTCACTTACTAGGTTGCCAACAGTGTTACTTCCATGTACAAGGCTTATACTCAAAACAGTGAGATAAGGCACTTTCATGGAGTCAGATCTGCATGAAGTACAAAAAATGAATTAGAACTCTCTAGAAGTCTTGATACCCTCTAACTCTCCAGTATTGGAAATGATGTAAAGATGAAATAAATAGCACGAAGAGTTGTGAAAAATAATGCTGGCAGCTTAAAGGGCTGGCGGGGCTGAGGGTGTAGATCAGAGATAGGTTGTACCCATAAGTATTCTCAAGGCCCTGGGTTCCATCCCCAGCAGAAATTTGTACTGCAGGGATAAATTACAGAAAATTAATTTCACAACCATTATTGTTTGAAGTCTTGTATCATGAATAGTAGCTCCTCTTTTAGGGAATGGCTCTTCTTCGAGAGTAAACGCATTCACCTTAGATTTCTACCCACAGAGCTCCCTCCGGGTCCGTGCAGGTAGTCTCTTCATAAAAGCCCTTCATGGAGACCCCCAAGCAGTCCTCTGGGTGTTTAGGTTTCGGCACTCAGCGCAGGCCACTATGCTACGCGCAGTCTAAAACACACTAATCCCCTCCCCAGAAGGAGGTTTTCTACTCTTATTCAGTTCTTTTCCCCCCAATGGAATTTTAGCTTCTAGGATTTCAGAATTCAGGATTTTAATCTTTCAGGATTTTGTATTTTAGGGGCTATAGCCTTAGAGATGATGTC